TTTTGTATAATATATATATATATATATATATACATTTGTTACTTTGTAATACTGTAAAATTAATGAACAAAACATATATATATACATTATGTAACATAATATGAGGTGCATGTTCATGAAAATGAATATATGTTGATATTTTTGTGATTCTTGTCATACAAAAAAAAATCCCCCCAGTGGCACAGTGGTATGTCTGCTATAGGGATAGAGGAATCTATAACAGGAAAAAATGAAGTATATATATGCAAAACAGTGCCATTACTAATTTCGATCACAGAAAATTAGGTAATGTTGTCAGGGAAATGAATGTATATGTAAGTAATAATGCAATACTGAATGGCAGTAGTTACTTTTTAACTGTTTTACGTTATATGAAACTTAGTTTTTATATAGAAAAGTCTAGAAATTCTTATCAAACAAGAACTATTAGTAATTAATTTCATCATAGCAGCATGAGTGCACTAGGTTGGCCATATCCTGTGTGCAAAAAAGAAAAAACAATAAAAAGAGTATAAGAAGCAATTATAAGAGGTAGAAGACGAGGAGGAAGGCCTCAGAGTAAATGAAGTTGTGTGTAGAACAACAACGTATGTTTAATATAAATGGATGCTAATCTAAAGAAAGAGATAGCAGGGTACAGAATTAGATGGATGGCAATAGTTGCAACAATCCAATTGTCTCAATAGGCCTATTGCTTCAGAGGAGTGAGTGAGTGTTACTTGCTGATCTGTTATGAAGAATGTAAAGTAACGTAACTGTTGGAAAAAAAGAAAGCTCATAAATGTTTCTATTGCAGTCACCAAGAACAAGATTCAATCTATATGCATGACAATATATATACATTACTTGAAGAACCTTTCCCCTTAATTATGCCCATACTACATTAAAGCAACCACTCAAACCACTTTACATCATAGCTTTGAGCAGTGCAGTTTGTCCACTTCAAACCAGTTTACTGAATTTCTTTGTAAATAAAATCAGCTAAACTGGCTGCACCAAGCTTCTCCATATGATAACAACCTATCAAATGCTCCTTTGCTTTACCTTCACTAAAGTACCTTAGTAAAATGGCAAGTTGCTCTTTCTTAGACAAATCTGAAAATTACTCAGCTTCCACTGCCTCAACATGGATGATTTCCCTAACATGTTTACCACGCCAATTATCAAAATTAAAACATTGTGATACTTGGAATTTGTATATTAGCCATACTGATATTCAAGTTTTGTTTTAAGAGTGGGATTTGATGAGTTGAAGCATTTTGATAAAGTTTCCAACATTTGAAGTACTATGTTCTTCAGAGTGATCATGAAATGCCAGACTATGCCTGCTCAAAAGTGCTATAATTTTAAGAAGAAGCTTCGCATGTTTTCTGTTTTCTTCAATTTCTTGCTCTCTCACTTAGGATAAACATGATGGAAGATTGACAAGAGCTAGACTGAATACCCTGATATGAGACCATGTAACTATGCTCTTAATGTGCCATTCACTGGCTACATGTCGTTCAAACAAAACATATCTACCTTTCCAGTTCTGAGCTCCAACATCTATAAAAACTTGCCAACCTTTTTGAACTGCAGATCCTAAACAATGTCTACAGCAAAAGTGATATACTATATCTTGTGAAATGGAGTACTCTAATCAAATAAAACTTTAAAAATAAATTACTCTACATTTCCTATTACTTTGGTTATTAGGGAATTCTATCAGACTTGATTTGCATGGACCATCATATAGTGTTTTAGAAATGTCCTGTATAATGCCTGTTATGGACTTGTGTGATTGAGAAGCCTGAGATTCAGGAACTTCTAAAGCTTGAGAATATGCTAAGTGAAACTGTAGATGTTAGTGAATAATTAGTTAAGAATTCACCAATAAAAGTTTCGCTGACAGCACCTCATGCTTCACCACCAATTGAACTTTCACTAACTGCACCTGTTGCTCTCATTACTGGTAGATTCTGTGCATGCATCAATGACCTGAAGAATTTTTTTTTCTTTTTTTGCTACTACATTTCAGTTCATGTCTCAACTTTCAGTTGCTTGAAACGTAATATATTTAATATAAATGAGAATTATATGAAAAGTAAATTTATAATTTATTATAAAATGTGATTACTAGGATAAAATCTCTAAAACTGACTAAATGTTTTTACTACTGCTGATGATGGCTATAAAAGAAACACAAAACTTTAAATGAATCATACTTTTTCAGAAAGAGGATTTAGTGATCTATTGGGAAAAAAATGCAGTTTTGATTGCTTACTTTCTACTTCTGCCCTTTGTTTCCTGCATTTCTTCTCTGAAAACTTACAGTGACAGGTATACATGGCCACTCATTGTTCATCTTTCTGGAAGAACTGATAAGTTGAGGACAAATAACTATTAGATAAATGATAATTATGAATTTCTCAAAACAAATAATGACTTGCAATGTATTTGAATCAACAGTTGATCCAGTAAATTTAACAGACATTTCAAAGTTATGAAGCCAGTTTTCTGCAATAGGCCACTTTGTTGAAAGAAATTTGACAATAAAAAAAATTATATAAAGTATTAAAACTAATACAAAGAGATAGTGTTTTTCTCACACTATTGTATACATAAAACTCACCCCCTTATACTAATTTATGTACCTGTAACATACTCAGAAAATGTAAAGTCTCTTTCAGGAATGTCGAGAGCCAGCAGCCTTTTTTACCTCGCATAAAAATGTTAATAAAGTAACAAATATCTATTAAATCTATAAAGTAACAAATATGTATTAATTATTACTCAAATTATTATTTCGGTCGTTCTTAATGTATCAAGCATCTATATGCAAATAACAGCCAAAAACTATGGTTTTTATCATTAACTGAAGATATAGCCTAAAGATGCTTTGCAGGCTTTATGGCATAACCAGGTTTCAATCGCCCAGGCCCCTGGGTAGTTGTCCCCCCCCCCCCTTGTCGGCGGGCCTGGTCTCTTTTTCTCTTTTTACCTTTGTTCCAGTAGTAGGCCTAATGATGACATGTGTTAGTCCACTTTGTTGAAAGAAATGGTGCAATATAAAATGACTAAAAATTGTCTAAAGTATTAAAATTAATATAAATATATAGTGTTTACCATATTGCTCCTAATTAATGGTCCCTCTCTCTAATTATTGCCCCCCTGGTATTTTTATAAAGCTTACCTTGTGTGACAGCAATATTAATCCAACATATAATCCACTTTTATTACCACAAGTTTGATTTGAAAAAAGAAGAAAAACAAACACACACACTTATGAGCATTGCAGTCAACAAATCACATTTGAAAAATAGAATTTAGAACTGGACAAACACTATAATTAGTGCCCCTTTGCAGTTTGCAACACCCCCAAGGGTGTTAATTCAGGGCAATAGGGTATCTCACTCTAATTTTTACATGAAACTTATCTGTATCTTCCTTACACTAATTTATGTGCATATGACATGTCACATGTTCAAAAAATTAATATCTCTACCTTTTTGGCATGTCTGAAGGTGAAATATTATCCTACAGCATGAATTGGTTGCTTTATAATTGAAAAAATCTTTGTAATTGATTGGTAAGTAATTTGCCATAGTGGAAACTGATTTATACAAGTATTGCACTAATATTTGGGGAAGTGAACCAGTTTTTAGTTAAATGGTTAAATTTTTGCAATTATATACACTTATATATAATATCAGTTTAAATGTTTCATGAAATAATTTGTTTGTATGTTAACTGGTCTGTAATTTTGATCATTGGAACATGAGTTACAGTGGCAAAAGTCCAGTGTTTACAGAGCATTTTAGTAGTAAGTAATGTGAATATTTACTGCCTCAAATATATGGCCTAGAATGTATTGAAGAGAGTGTAGACCCTTCTGGCAACCCCCATTTCATTTACTGTTCTTATTCCTGAATATATTTCTTGATAGTTAATGAGAAGTAATGTAACTACACAGCTGTACTTAAGCCTGCTTGGGAGGGAGGTTTTATGGGTTTTTTTTAATACTGAATAATCCTACCCATATTGAGAGTGTTCTACTATAAAATAGGTTTTATTGGAGGTATTATTTTGTTCTAGATTGTACTGCTAGTTATGTTTTCAAGAATATTACTGAAAGGTTAAGTCTGATTGAAGCATTTAATGAATTTGTAGATAGAAACTGTTTGGAAAATTTTATTGGGCATGTGTTCTACTCATTTTCTAAGTAAATATGTTTATTTACCAATGTATTTGTATAATTTTATTAAGGTTTATAAAAACGTAAATGAAAAGTCTTGATTAATCAAAGCAAATACATTATATGTTTTTTGTTTTGTTTTGGTTTTTTCAATGATACTGATTTCAAAATGTGGAGAGCTAAAAAGAAAAATAAACTGGTTGTCTACAGCTTGAAACATAGATACTTCACAGAAATTATAGTGATAGCCATTGTTACCATAGGAACATCACAAGTGTTACTAAAAAGCAGATTTACCAAATATTCTTCATAAAAGTTACTTAAATTCAGTTTAACCACAGACTCGTGATAGGTATTGTTAGTGTGCATTTTCATAGAGATTAGTGACATTGTAACCAAAGTACATTACATAGAGGTTACTAAGAGGTAATTTAACCATAGTTACACCATAATTTGCTTTTTCATATATCACGGACTTTAAACAGGGAACCTGAAGAATGAAGAAGATGTTCTTCAATGGCTAATTGATAACAAAGATGTGGAAGAAGAAGTCATTGAACATGTAGATAGAAGAATGCTAGAGATGTTACTGGATGATGTAGAAAACCTGGCAGTCTACTTTTGTTAGTAATTTGTGTTTTATCTTATGAACTTTTCTTGATATAGTCTTTTTTTATAACTTCTTTCTGTAGATATTATTCTTTTGACAGCATGTCTCATTTAATTTCATTACTGTTTTTTCACACTATGATATAGTTGTTTGATCATTGAAATATTTGCATTCTTGTTGGTAATACCAACATAAAAGTTTACAAATGAACCTTAGATAGAATGACAAGTTATGTTTTCAAACTCTTTTTTTTTTTTATAATTGATTTTCTCTTTAACTTAATTAGTAAAATATTTCAGTAGATTTGAAAAACTATTGTTCATATTAAGAACATATTCTCACAAGTCTTTAATAGCCATAAGATTTGTATGATATCCTTTACCATTAGTGAACTACGTTGACTGTCCACATTATTAGAACCTCAACATATTTATGAAGCACTTCATTTATTTCTGTATGCAAAATGTAGTGACCATATGATATTTATGATAACTGCTTGAACCATATAGATGCAGAGGTAAAGTTATATCATGGTTATTTTGCGAAGACTGGTAAGAGAAACTATCTCTCTGACATCCAAAAAAGCATGACAGTGTGTTCGTGTCTATTAGAAGTGTCAGTATCAAAGACATTTTTGTGATTAGAGGTTCAATAACATTTGTCAATAAAGTCTTATCATCAGTTGTAATCAAATGGCAATGTTTCTGCTGCTAGGATGAACTGTAGCTACAAACTAATGGTAATTGACTAAAGAAGAGGTGATTAGACAGATTCATAAAATTCAGGAGATGTCAGGATGATAGTGTAAAAATGTGCAAGAGAAAAAAAGATGAGTAGTTAACTTTGTTTTTGTTATTGTGACAGTGCAATTTGATGGAAATGGTGTAGGGAATGTCTTAAAGCAAGGGATTGGGTCCTTTGATTTCTAGAGAAGGGCTAACACCACCCTGAATCACCCTGAAGATTATAGGGAATGTCTTAGAGAAGGACTAACATAACCCTGAAGTTTGTTACCCAATCATCTATCCTGCGGTACTACATTTCCACAATGATGGACAAGGGCTTTTATAAGACAATGATTTACAAATCTTCCCAACTTATATGTCCAAAATGTATTTGAAAAGCACGACAGTGACTAATTTTATTTTCTTTAGTGAGAACAACCACCAGATATCATATCTGGTTTAAACTTAATCATATTTCTCACAACTGTAATCCTCTGCTGATATCTGCAAACCAGTTGTAGACCATGTTTCATTTAGAGTATTCTGCAATTGAACAAGACATTTTCTAGTTTACTGTGGAGCCCTTTTCATGCTTAGTCTAAGCTGTTATCATTATGAAAGATCAGCTAACCAAGAATCAGGTGATGGTTCTAATAAATTGTCCAGTTGATGTAGTTTTAATCATTGCTGTACAAGAGGCTATCTTCAGGAAATAAAATTATCTGATAGGTAATAAGTTTAATTTCTCTACAAAAATCTTCTGAGGCAAGATTAAGTTAGATGTAGCTAAACTTTCTCCTTACCAGAAATATTCATGTTGCAGATAAAATAGTTGAAAAATTAACAATCACACACTTCAAAGAAACTCTGTGAAACAAGGATTATTTTCAAGTTAGCGTATTATTATTCTTAGTAAGTGTGATAAACAGATCGTCTTGTAAATGGCAGATTTAATTGTGAGCAAATCATTCTTGTGTTGCAAGGATTAATTTCAAGTTAATCTTTTTCTTTACCTGATGCAAGTAAAATAATCAAACAATAACATGTAAAACCCACCCAGTGTTGAGCATGCTGTATTTTTTATAATTTTTATGCTATTTTTGATTTTTAACTGAAAGTAAAATTAATCATTTATTCATAGATATTAGCAAATTCCAATTCAGATTTTGAGATTCAAGTATGTATGTGTGATTTCTTATGAATTTGATTTCCAAAGAGAACTTTATAAAACTTGTCTTTTGTGCATAAAATTGTAGCTCACTATTGTTTTGAATCAGTATATTTTTACTCAATAAAAAAAGGATTGTTATGCAACAAGTTGCAATTAAACATTACTTTAGAGATTAATTTTGAGTTTACTTACTGATTAATTATATTATATTACAAATTACAGCTTTTACAAATTTTACTTACTGTAAAAGCAGTAACTTGTAATATAATATCACCTTAGAAAGTTTTTGTTTTACTTCACTGAGTTTATTTTGATATTTTTGTGTGTACTTTTAGTCAACCTTATAAATGTACTGTGTATACTGGTTCTTGTCTGCATAATTATAATTTATATTTGTTATATTAACATATGCTAAATGTTGATTAATCATAAGAGAAATAACAATTTTCTGCATTATAGAAATCCAAATGTGTACAGATTATGATGAAATGTTCCAATTTTTGTTTTTTAAAGTGCTTTAACTTAGAATGATGCTGCTGTAACTAAATCATCTTTTGAAAGTGTAAAAGTAAAAAGCTGAATTAGTATTGGATAAAATACTGTCACTAAAATATTTATTTACATTTAGATGAAGATGATTGTGCTGATTGTGAGGCTATTCTTCAAGAGCTAGAAAATATTGATGATGATACAGATCGCCATGGCATCCACTTTGTTAAAACAGGTGATGTGACACTTGCCAAAGAGTTAGGAGTCACAGAGTTCCCATCTTTGGTTTATTTTGAAGATAAAATTCCTAGTATTTATTCAGGTAAGAAAAATTAAAATTTTTTGTTTGTTTTTGAAACTAATGTTTAAATATTATTTGAAAGTCTGTTGAATAGCTGGTATAAGTTTTTTAAAATTTATTAACCTTTTGTTTGTTTATATATTTGTGTACCTGCCTGTATTTCCTTCATTTTAGTTCCAAAGTACTATTCATCACAAAACACAAATTCACCAAAGATAAATAATTGTACAAGACTCAGAAAATTTCTAATTTGGGGCTTTTCCTTATCTTTTACTTCTGGAGAAAAAGTCCCACCCTTCAAATGCACTTAAGTATTAGGAATAATATCTGCATTGCTTACTGCATTTGTTAAAAGAGTGGTAAAATATATAACAGATACCCTTGAATTTTAGCAAATTATCTTTGTTCTAGGTGATCTTAGGGATGAAGAGAAAGTTTTGGAGTGGCTAATTAAGCAGAAAAATGAAGATACGATTGAGAACATTAACAGAGAAATGCTGTTTAAGTTGATTGAAGAACAAGATTATTTAGCAGTATACTTTTGTATGTTTATTCTTATTTTTCCAATTTATTTTGGTACTTTTAATATGATATTTTCTGTGAACTCTTATCTATAATATGAAACATATATAACTCAGTATTATTCATGCATGCTTTACTATATTTATATATGCTGAAGTCTAAAGATTATGAAGTATGTAAGTCCATGTAGTGATGTCTGTAGAATTAAAATTATCATTGTTTGAAAATAAAAACTCTAAAATTGTTGTTTTAAAAATATGCTTGTTTTAAAGTCCACATACTGGAGTCTTGAAATTCAAAACTATCTATATTTATAAGTCCATACTTAAACTAACAAACGAAAAATATGTGAAACTTATTCTATTGGTGTAAGAGACTGATTTATTTGGTTGGTGTATTAATTTCTTTGTTTCATATTTTAGGGTATAGAATTTAGTTTTATAGTATTTCCATCATACTAGAATGATATTTTATATTTTCAAAAGACACATTGTCAGTTTTGTGAGTTTATCAGTGTTGTTGGTTCTTCACAGATCTGGAGGACCACAAAGAAAGCCAAGAAATTTTGAAACATTTGGAAGAGATTGATGATGACTGCAGTGACTATGAAGTTCAGTTAGTGAAAATGAAAGATAACTTGATGGCCAAGAAATATCATATAAGAAACCCTCCTGGACTTATCTTCTTCCGCCATGGGAAAGATATAAAATATCCAGGTAATTCTGTTTTCAGTTTGGTTATTCATCATGAAATATTCTGTGTGTCTTATATTGCTTGATTTAGTGACAAACACTATAGAAGTGACCATAAAATATGTGTATGCAAAAGAAAATTTATAATCACTGTTAAAAAATATGATATTTTATTAATTGATAGCCAAGAATATAGAGTTAAGCTATAAATCATCAAAATTCTTGGAAAATAATATCAGGAAATGTTTTAATGCTCTTCCTTACAGTTTTGTTACTTTTTACACCAAAACTACATAGTTCACTGCATAAAACAAACAAGGTATAAAACACAGCATTACTAAAACTTTACTTGCTGACAGTCTTTATTATGAAGAATGCATTTGTTTACTTCACTGCTAATCCTTCAATTAAAAGTGACCTTGACCTTTATGATAAAAAGTAGCTTTATTTACTGCATTGCTTAATATTTACCCATTATAATAAATTGAAAACATTGATATGTGCTATCATCTTACCTTTTTCAGCCACTGCATTATTCTAATATGGTATTAATTTTCCTATTTGCTTTCACGTGTTTTTTTTTTAAGTAATTTTCAAACTACTATTAATTTTATATGATAGACCTCCTTTTTTAAGGTGGCCATTATGAAAACACATTTTTTTCAAAAAGAACATTTTGCAACAAATTTTATGGATATTTCATACTTGGCAAATGAATCTCAATGTTGACTAAGTACCACCACAAGATTGCCATTATGTTTGTTTTTCCAATATGCAGTAATCCCACACTGATCTTCTGTAAATCAAATAAATTGATAATTATATAATGATAAGGATAATAATGTTTTTGTTTAAAACATATAATGATTGCAATTATAAATAAATAAATAGCCAATTTATTTATGTACCTTATTTGAATAGGATAAACATAAAAGTAAAATTCAATAAAGACTTGAGTCATCAGAATCTAATCACCTTTCAAACTCGCTAAACAGTAAATTTATTTGATTAGATGACAATGTTATTTTCTTTGGTGAACAATTTCAATAAACCATATATTTGCAAACATTGCAACTCAATAAAACCATTGTATAACTATCAAAAAGTAAAAACGCAAAAATGTAAACAAATCTAGAATCAAGCATCAACAAGATACCTTTATTAAGCCTTAAACAATTTTTAGTCATGTGACTTCTTTGCTTCGCACTGTATAATATTCCTCTGTATAGGTAAACTTTTGTAGTTAATGATGACAAAACCTTCTCTAAACATCATACATTTGTTACTGTGTTAAACTTATAATAAAGTTTTCTTTGTTACATATTCAACCTCTCTATAAACTGTATGAAACAAATATAATTTAACACAAAAAAATATTTTCACAATTCACAAATGAATGAAACTGAAAGGAACGTTTACAGAAACTATAAAAGAAAAAAAACCAATGTACTTATTCTATTAATACATGATAGTTTATTTCTCGCTGTATACAGTCATATTTAAACTTTCTTTATAGCTGTTTCCAAAGCTGTGTATCACAAGTAAATGATCAAACCACTTGATGTGGCACCATAACAAAGTTTCATCTAAGACCTATACAAAATCTTAAATGAATACATGATATTTGACAAACAATATTGATGTTCATAAAAATAAATAAAGTAGAGAAATGTTAAAGCTTGACAGATGGAGTACATATGTTAAACATTTTTGAAACATATAATTCATACATATTTCAAATTACATTAAACATTATTAGAGATCCATACTCGGAGAAACTGTTACTCTAAACAGGGGTGATCTAGCTGTTGTAAAGAAGGAAGGGTTCCAAATAGACTGCAGGGGTCCTCAGCAATTCCAACTTTGTTGAAAACAAATCTCTAAAGTTGTTTTTCAAAATTTGTAAAAAATCTCCTCTGGAGCACACACATTGTGTTAATGTGTCAAGGTGCAAAAATTTACCATGTCAATATTTAATTAGCATTAATATGGTTGTGTTCATTTAGAAATAATCAATCAATAGCTGAGGCAGTAACTGGAATGCTGTAGACTCCAGCTGCATTGACTTCAGAAAAAGAGAAAAAAGCTTTTATGGGAATTAATAGACAAATCAAATTTAAACACTGAGATCTAATATTTCTTTTTGATACTATGTGATACTTTTTTGTATCAATTTCTGAAAAAATGGAGGAGGTTTTGGACTTCCTTCCAGATCTGTGCCTACTTATACAACATGAAATAATACAGTTATTAATTTCTGAAAAAATAGATGGATGGGGTGGATTTGACTGACCCCCCCCCTATACTACTACCACCACCAACTACGACACTACGACTATACAACTACTA